TGTGTGTGTGTGTGTGTGTGTGTGTGTGTGTGTGTGTGTGTGTGTGTCTTTCTGTCTGTGTCTTTGTATATTGCAGTTTTGAGTGAAAGGTACCTAGCTCTGATATAGCCTCTTGACTCAGCCATGATTAAAATGATTGACACTTTTAGGAGTAAACAATACATACCCCCCTTTGTTGCTAAGCCAGGCTAGTTTGATAGTGTTGGCTTTTGCTTTGCTTAATCAACTTGGTTTTGTCCTTTATACTTATTCACTGATTGCAGTAAAATGAAGACAGCTGATACACTAATCAGTGTCTTTATTGATCTTAAACATTTCTGCTTTATTATTAATGGAAAGAAAGCAAACCTGGTACCGGAAACCTAGCCAGATTTTCCAGGGCTAGTGGGGTCATGGACCTTACAAAAGAATCCACTACCACCACTTTCCTAGACTAGCCCAATTCCTTACTGCATTCCAAATCTTACCCTTATACCCATAGATAATTGTAGGTACTACCCCTCATCAAAGGAGCCTTTCTTTACAGTAAATGGAGACCATGATAGAAACTTGACACAATGCAGAGCTCAACAGAGGGTATGGAGCCCAGCCCCAATGGATACATCTACATCACAGCTCCTGCATCTATGACTCAGGGAACATCATGAAAGAGGCAGTAGATTGCAAGAGCCAAAATACCAGGAGGTCTGCTGTTTCTCTTAGAAATGACTGCATAAAAAAGATGAGAACAATAACAATATCAATGGGCATGCTAACATGTAAGGGGGAGAATTTCATGGGGTCTTATCTGTAGACAAAGAACTACAGGAAACTAATGACTGTTGGAAGGAGAGGAATTAGCCTTTCTCCAGCATGAGCACAGTGGATAGTTATCCAGTGCCAAGTGTTCAACCTTGAAATCATAGAAACACATATAAGAAAACAGACTCAGCAGAATTTATTTATAAATATTTACACACACACACACACACACACACACACACACACACACACACACACGGTCTGTAGCAGGCTTTCTTTTGGGCCACCAACCAGTTTCCAAATCATGATGCAGAGACTTATTCTTAATTATGAATACTCAGCCTTATCTTATGCTTGTCTCACTAGCTCTTATAACAATGTGTTTCTCTTCATCTACATTTTGCCTCAGGGCTTTCCATCTTTCTTTCATTCTGTATGTCCTACTCCATGTCTGTCTGTTTTGGCAGCTGCCTGGCTGGCCCTGGGAATCTCTCTCTCTCTTTCTCCCTTATTCTTTTCTCTTGTTCTTCTCTCTTGAGCCTAGATTACTCCTCTAGTGGTTGATATATTGTGCACCCCAATAAACTTATCTGGGGGTCAGAGAACTGAACAGCCACTCTATTAAACAAAGAGGTTAGGCAGCAGTAGCACATGCCTTTAACCCTAGCATTCTGGAGGCAGAGATCCATCTGAATCTCTGTGCGTCCAAGGTCACACTGGAAACAGCCAGGCATGGTGACAAACACCTTTAATCTCCAAACTTCAGAGCTCATGTCTTGCTTGGGAAAGAAACACACCTTTAACTCCAGGAAGTGATGGCAGGAAGCAGAAAGGAATATAAGGCATGAGGACCACAAACTAGAGACTTCTTAAGCTTTTAGGTTTTTAGCAGCAGTTCAGTTGAGATCCATTTGGGTGAGGACTCAGAAGCTTTCAGTCTGAAGGTTCATGGAAACAGGATCTGATGAGGAGTTGTTGAGGTGAGGTTAGCTGTGGCTTGTCCTGTCTGTCTCTCTGATCTTCCAGCTTCCACTCCAATATCTGGCTCTGGGTTTGTTTTTATTAATAAGACCTTTTCAGATTCATCTTACATTCCCAAAAATGGATTATGGATATTTGTCTTTGTTTATATTGTTGGTTGCAAATTGTTATTGGTCATAGTCAATCTCTTTCTAAAAGAAGAAAGGGGGATATGATATAGAAATGTAGGATATAGATATGATAGGATAAAAGGGTAGATTATTGAATTTACTTTTAAAGAGCAACAACTTATTTGAAATGTTTTACACTGCTGTAGATTTTAGTTAATTACAAATTTAAAGTTAGTTTTGTTATACTGTATATATATTTCTACTTTTGTTTAAGGTATTATGTTTATGTAACTCATTTAAATTGTAATGGATAATTAAGAAATACAGATTAATAATTAGTCTTCTATGATAGTCAAACTTATAGTCATGTTAGTTAAGTTTTCTAGGTATACATAAATATAATTCAATTAGGTAGGTAATCTTCAAACACTTCAAAGACCTACAGAATATGGCATTTAAAATGTTTTAAAAACCTAGACTTTCTGGACAGTTTGATATGTCTGCTCCTGGCAGCACTGATTTACTTCAAAGAGAAAGATGGGCATCAAAGATACTCTATATGGAGTTTATCATCTTCTTGGCAAAAATAGCCTTTTGGATAAGAAACTGCTCTTGCATGGACTGCTGATAATATGTTGTATAAACTAGACATATAGGACCCATAGGAAAATGACCACTGAATTTGCCAAAACAAGGCAAAATGGTCCTTTAGTTTCCTGCTTTGCAGAGGAGACTGCCAAATATTCTATAGGACACATGGAGAAACAACTAAAAACTCTAGGCCTAGAGGCTGAAGATGGATGCCCCAAAATGGCAGAGGAACTTTGGATGACTGTCCTGGCAGCCAGCTGTCTCTGTCATTCTAGATTTTTGGAAGTTGCTTACAATGCACTTCTTATTTACATAGGTAATATTATATCCTTCTGGAGTCTTTGATGTAGTTGAAGACTAGATAGTTAAAATTATGATTTTTCCCTGGTTATGAAAAAAATGAAAGGGGAAGCACTGTGGATATCTTTCTGTATGCTGTGAATAGGTGTTGCTCTGATTGGCTGATAAATAAAGCCATTTGGCCTATGGCAAGGCAGCTTAGAGGCAGGTGGGAAGTCCAAACAGATAGGAAGAGAAATGAGAGGTAGAGAGATGCCAGCCACCACTGAAGGAGAAGCAACATGCCAACAGACCTGTAAAGCCATGGAACATGTGGCAAAACATAGATTAATAGAGATGGGTTAATTTAAGATATAAGAGATAGCTAGCAAGAGGCCTGCCATAAACCATACAGTTTATAATTAATATAAGTCTCTGTGTGTTTAATTGGGTCTGAGCGGCTGTGGGACTGGGCAGGACACAGGAAAACTTCCAACTACATCCTCCTCCTTATTCTCTCTGCCCACTAGCCTCCCCCATCCCTCTACTGCCTAGGTATTTGCCATTCAGCTTTTATTAGACCAATCAGGTGCCTTAGGCAGGCAAGGTAAAACAGCAACACATCTTTGCATAATTAAACAAATGTAACACACCTTTACACAGTTAAAGTAATATTCCACAACAGTGGTCAGTCTTGAGGCCATATATACACATATAACAAAAGACTCAGTAGAATCTACTAATAAATATTTATGCACATACATATATACACACATACACACACATAAAATAATGATCAAAGAAAAAGAGGTTATCAATTTGAGAGTAGGGGCCATGGAGGGGTTCAAGAAGGATATCTGGGAGGGACTGAAGGTAGGAAAATAAATAAAGAAGTGTTGTAATTCTATTTCTACTAAAAACAGTAAAAACTTTCTGCTTTGGAGGAAATGGAGTGGTCTTGCAAAGCATTACTGAGGGAGCTATCTACATCATTCTAACAAGGTAAAGATTGCACACACACATGCATATATACACACATGAATACACACAGATGTATGCACACATGCTCACAAACACACACTTATACATATGTCTCCGTGCTTGTGCATGCACACACACACACACACACACACACACACACACACACACACACACACACACACAGTATAGGCTTTAGATGCAAGTATATCTTCTCCTGGAAGTATCTGGCTAGGGGTAGTTGATTCTAGTTGTCTCTCCCCACAAGAGTGCTGACCTAAGCCTACAACCTGTCTTTGTTTCCTTCATCTTGTCTTTCTGATCTGGTCATCTCTTTACCAGGCCTCTCTGCTGACTTGTGACTGGACTAACCACACACAGTACTCTGACCTTCCCAAGGCTTCACTGGGAGTCACTAAGTAAGGGTCACAAAGAAACTGTCCATAGCTCCTGAATCTTGATGGAGTTCTTTTGGCTCACATTTTTGGAAATTGGTCTATGTTTAAACATTGAAAAGTTTTACACTAGAAGATTTCAGGTTTCATATAAAAAAGCTCAAAAGGGTTGTCGATAGTCTTTTTTTCCCCACATGGTGACCCAAGGTAAGTGTGAGTGGTGTCTGTTATCTCTAAGCAGAGCAAGGTTGATTTTTTTTGCTATATCCTCCAAGTGGTGCTCACTTCTGCCACCTGCCAGTGCTAACTGTAAGTACAGTGATGGTCAACCTCTATCCCAACTTTTCTACCACCTACTTGGGGCTAACTCAACTGAAGTCCACCTTGCCCCACAGTGGCTGTATCTGAAAG